TTCTTATTCTCCTTAATGGTTGAGCAATCTTTCATTCTTACATCTGATAATCTGAGCAATGTAGTTGAGGATTGTGATATGCAATGTAACAACCACTGTTGATATGTATTAATTTGTCTTGAGACCCTGTATCACTTTGAATGTTTTTGCTTTGATTTGTTTATGTTCGTGATACTGGTATGCTGCTACTGTTCTATTTCTTTGTTTGCTTCTCATGTACTACTCTCTTTAAAATAAAATTTAAAAAATAAAAATAAAAAAAAAATTCTTCCTTTGTCAAAACATTCTCCAATAGGATAATTTAAATCTGGCACCAGAACAACTTAGTTTCTGATAGGACAACTGTCCCAGTGCCTTATTTGTATAAAGGAGAAGCCAGTCCCATAATTCTAGGTGCAAAAGACCCCTTCCCACATCCTAGTGGGCACTGTGAGTCTGCTGACATGCCTGCTCTCACCCTGCAGAGCGTACTTCTTTTCTGCCTCAATAAATGTATATCCCTGCTACCATTCTGTGTGTCTGATCCAATACTCCAGGACAAGAGCCTGGAAAGAACTTCCCTGAGACCCATTCCATGATCCTGGGGACCCAGCCAGTCCTCACTGCCCTGCCCCTTGGCTACCATGCCTCGTCTCAGAGACAGCAGGTCACACACAACGTGCATGAATCTGGCTATTGTTTATGTGGAATAAATAAACAAATGCAAGCCCTTGACTTGGTAGTGGAAAAGGTACTTAAATATAATTTAACAGTGCCTGCCTGGCAAGCGCAAGGTCATGAGTTCGATTCCCGGTACCAGAAAAAAAACAAAAAACAAACAAACAAAAATATATATATATATAAAATTTAAGTAAAAAAAAAAACCCCAGAAGTCTAAATCTTCCAATATACTTTCTAATACTGAGAAAGAAACAGCATTAAAACATGAAGTAGAGGCACCAGCAACTTGGAAAACAATCTGAGACCACTTGTCGAAGGATTCTGAACCACAAATGTTCTTGATGGTACAGTGGTAAACACTGTGTAATAAGCCAAAATATAGGTCCAAATCATTCTTTCAAGAAAAAAGCTCATTGGTTAATATGAACTGGTGAAGAACCAATTCATCATTCCAAACACTGGCAAATTAACTAGAAAAAGCAAGCGCTTATCTGGCTTTTCCTAAATGAAATATAGTTTATGGAACCAAAGAGTTGATACAGGAAAATAGTCTTCACAGAAAAATTTCAGTTAACTTGCTTTAGAAAATAGATAAATGTAAAAAATGATAAATGTAAAATATTGCACAAGCATTGCACAAATTCAAATAAAATAATAGATCTAAGTAATAAACATCAATCAATAGCTTCTAAAATTATTAGGTGAAAGACTAATGGAAAGCTTCTTGGATCATAATTTCAAACACAGCCTAAATAATTTAGTGACATGGTAACGTCCTGTCACTAAGCTTAAAAAATGAATAAATAGAAAGGGCTGGGGATGCAGCACAGTAAGATTCAGTATTGGAGATCCAGCTCAATCCCCAATAATAAAAAAAGACAAAAAAAGAAAAATGATCTAGCCAGTAGCAGAGACTTATTAAGTGAAGTTAATGTCACAGAAAGACAGAGTGGGCATTATGTAACTTTTGACATAAAACATCAGTAAGTATACACTACTACCTATGATGTATTCTTGTCCAAAACAAATAGCAGAATCTCCTCAAGCCTGTAGATCTACTTTCCACTTTACATGAAAATACAACATGAAGGAAAATGAGATATCACATCATGAGATGCTAAGACCAAATCCAAAATGAAAGAAATTCGATGCTATAAAACAAATTATCCAGTTTTTTTCAACAAATAAATGGCATTGTCTTTAAAAGGCCAAGAAGGAATACCTGAAGATTAAAAGATAATTATTCAAATGCAATATGGACTATATTTGGGCCCCTATTCAAAAAAAGCAATAATAAAAAACATTTAAATGACAATCATATCTAATAATATTAGGGAATTATATTGTCATTTTAGGTAGATTAATGATGACGTAGTTTTTTTTAAAGAATCCTTTTTTTTAGCAATACATACTAAAATATTTAGGAACAAAATGACAGTTGGAATTTTCATTAAAGTAATCCAGTGTAGAAGTGAAAGTGACTGGGACAATAGGAAAAAAATAAAATGAATTTTTAAGTGATGGGGAGATAGATAAGTTTTAAGTTTATGGTATTATTTTTCTTCTTTTGTATAACTGTAAAATTCCATAATAAAAACAGCTTTCAGATAGTATCAGAAGAGCCAGGGATATAGCTCAGCAGCACAACATCTGCCTGGCAAGCACAAGGTCCTGAGTTCAATTCCCAACACCAAAAAAAAAAAAAGAAAGAAAGCTAAGCTGTAAGTGCAAAAACCATTTAGAAATATCTTAACTAAGTTATTTTGCTTACCTTTTCTGTTATTTATGCATAGTGTTACATAAGTTTTTAAAAAGCTAAATGTTATTTCAGTAAGCAAATACTCTATATGATTTTAAAAAGCACTATGTTATAGTTCAATTGGTAACATTTGTTCTTTCTTCGGTGCATATAAGGTAATAATACCTCTTACAATCAGTAACATTTTATATGTAAAAAGTAAGCTAATAAGATATCACAGCTGTAATCTCAGCACTTCAGAAGGCTGAGGCAGGAAAACTGCAGTGTCTGGCCCAGCCCGGGAAGTCTCAATATAAAAAATTTAAAAAGGGCTGGGATGCAGTTCAGTGCAAAGACCCTGGGTTCAGCCTCCAGTACAACCACACATGTACACACACACACACACACACACACACACACACACACAAATTCATGTATCAGTCACCAAACCTATTTCTTGTGAGGAAATGATGAACATTTTCAAAGTTACATAGAATAAAATATTCAGTGAACATAAACAAATTACAAAATTCAACATGGAATGACCAACCTTGATCATCTCTGCTTCTATCTGCTGATGAACACCCATGTAACTCTTCTTCACCTGCTGCTTGTCCTTGATCATCATGGTGAGCCTATGCAAGGGTCCAGAGCTTAGGTCCTCTGCATGAGTCTTCATTATCCTACTAAGTTGTTCAGTCTGCTGAATCAGAAGCAGCCAAGACTTAAAGAAAAGAAAAGAGAAAATTAGCATTTCTATTAAAGGTTCCCCAAAAACGGGCAACTGAAATGAATAGAAACAACTCAGAAGAAATACAAATGGCCAGTGAGTACATGGAGGAAAAATGTAACAAATGAATGGATAAAGAAGGATAAATTTGAGTCATTTGTAGGAAAATGGATATACCTGGAGACCACAATGCTTTTTTTTTTTTTTTTTTGTCTTTTTAAGGCAGGGTCTCACTCTGCAGTTCAGGCTGGCCTTAAGCTCACTTTATAGCCTAGGCTGGTCTCGAACTTGCAGTGATCCTCCTGCCTCAGCCTCCCGAGTGCTGGGATTACAGGTGTGCACCACCACACCCGGCTGAGACCACAATGCTTTGTGAAAAAATTCACATACAGGAAATTAAATTTAGTTTCTCTTATATTAAGAAAATGGAAAGTATAAATGAAGAGCAAAAGAAAACAGAGATGATAGAAGACAGGAAGGTAGACTGTGGTGATGGGAAGTGGATCTAGGAATGGTGAGAGGTAGGGAGGGGAGGGGAAGGGAAGTACAAATAACTAAAATGTTATAATGTTGTCTATATACAGATACATTAATTCGGACCAAGGATATAGCTCAGTGCCATAAGCGCCTGCCTGGAGAACACAAAGTCCTGAGTTCGATTCCCAGTACCAAAAAAAAACCAGGAAGGAAGGAAGGAAGCAGGGAAAGAAGGTAGTATTTATATGAGGTTCCCACTTAGCTGTGATTTTAGAATTCAAAAGCTTTAAATATTTGGATTTATAGAAATAATAACATTAACATAAAATGGCAGCATTCTGGCAATTATACAGTAAACTATGAGTAATTTGTATTTCACATCATCAACATCAATCATAAATACTTCAAAATTCAATAGTCAGACACTATGCAAAATGCTAGGAAAAGGATGAAAGACTTTTTGAGAGTCTACACTTAAAACTACTCACTTGTTTTCCAACACACTAAAAGTGTGCTCTGTCCGCACAATTTCAATGCCTTGATAAGGTCACCAATTCCTAAAGGTCAAAGGAACAGATATTTCCCCATCTTTACCTTAACCCCTCTCTCTGTGGCATCTGACCTTGGTGACTTCCTTCTCCCTGAAACTCTTCTGTTGTGGATTGCATGGCTTCCTCTCTTATATTCCAAAAAATCTTCTCAGTCTTTGGTACCTGCTCCTCTGTAGCTGCCTGTGTTATAAATACTGGTATTCTCTGGATTTTTATCTATACTTTTCTCTCTTTTCTTAATAAATACCATTAGTTCTCAGCAAGACAACACATTGCCTCAGTAGCAGAAACACACAACGGCAGATTTTGGACAAGTGGGAACACAGAGGTTGCTAGAAGAATAAATCATGTGTTAGTCACTAGACCTCCTAATAAAAAGAGACAGAGGAATGCTTTTCACTATAGGGCTTCAAAATTTTATTCAGAAACAATTACTAGAGACCATCACAGTAGGAAGGATCCATGCTAATAACAAAAAAGGACAAGACACAGTTTCAAATATTTATTAAAATAATTCCTATTCTAACACTTCTGATGTCAATGAATTAAAATATTCTTTTTCTATAAAATTCCAATGTAATCATAAATCAAAATTTAAGACTCTAAACCTACAACCTAAAAGAAGCAAATTCTTAGTCAAAGTCTATATTCATCAAGTTCTAATTTGGTAATCTTATTTTTTATACACTGTAATATATGTTTTAAATAAATAGTATAAAAATTTTTGAGAACATATGGGGGTCATTTTTAATCGTGAAATGCTTTTTCCTTTGTAAGGGAGAAGCAAGTATAAGGGTAAGGGAGAGTGCACGCACAGGCATTCACCTCCTTCCCCCTTGCTCCCTGTGATTTTCTTGCCTTTTACCCTGTTACATTCCATTCCCTTTTCTTGTCCTGCAGAAGTTGTTAGGTTACATTCCTCTTCCTGTATCCCTAAATTCTCCTTGATTGGCTTCTTCAGTTCAATGTCTGTTTGTTTGTTTGTTTGTTTGTTTGTTTTGAGGTACCGGGGATTGAACCCAGGACCTTTCACATGCTAGGTAAATCTGTAACTACTGAGCTGCACCTCCAGATATTCTTAGTTTATTTTTGAGACAAGGACTTGCTAAGTCACACAGATGACTGATTTGAACTTGCAATCTTCCTGCCTCAGCATCCTGAGCAGCATAGATTGCAGAAGGGCACCACCACTCCTCGCTTCAAGACCCCTTTACAAAACAAAGCCTTCTCTATTCCCCCAACCCAACCAACCCTTCTACCTACTGCCCTCTCCAGTTTGTTTTTAAATCCCTCAAATAATTTCTAGGGAAATAAAAATTAAAGCTCTGCTTTTGCTTTAGATAAAGATGAGCCAGGTTATACACAAGGACACCATATCTCTGAAGCTGTATCAAATAAATACTGTTTTCTTCACTCATATCCTGTGTTAACACAGAACCAAGATATGGAGTTGATGGATTCCATCACTTCCAACTTCACCTTCTTTATAGATAACCTCACTTATCTGAATGACTTCTCCTCCTCCTCTCTAATATTATCTACTTTCTGCCAATCCACAAGCTTTCTCCTATTTACAAATGCTTTTATCACCTCAATGACACAAGTATTTTCACCTCATGAATGTGGAAACTGGATTTAAGATATTAAATAATCTGTCTGAGGCCATACAGCTAACAATGGAAGAGCTCAGCTATGAACACAAATTCATCTCTCTTGAATAAGTCAGACTGGTTACAACTTGTTATTTAAGGGATATAAAAGATAGGAAACATAAAGGCCCTTATACCTAAAGGCAGTTTTTAGAAGTACTATCTGAACGAAACTGATGAGGATACCTTAAAGCCAGTTACAAATTATGCAGTGATCTTTAATCCATAATTCACATTATCGTTAAATTAGAGGCTAAAAGTCAAAGTGAAACACTATCTGCTCCCTTTACGTCACCTATTTTGCAGCATGATACATCCAAGTCAAGAAGTCCTTCCAGGCCGAGATTCATTCCTGATTAGACATGCTTTATTAGAAGCTACAGAAATGAAACTGGCTTCTCACCGGAATTGGCTCTCCAACTAAAATAATGCTTCATCCTTTGAATCTTTATAATTGGAAGAATTAAGAAATAAATTATATTGAGCCATCATTTCAAATGGTTTTGAGTTTCTAAGTTTGACTTTTAATGCCACTGTATTACAATCAAAAATAAAATGTTTCCTAGAAATAAATGTTATACTTATTTGACAATAAAAAAAGAATTATTCAATTTAGAGAAAATTTCTTCTCCAAAAGCCAGATAAGGTATATATACTAAATAGCATCTCGGCTTTATACAATAATTAAATCTTAAAATGCCTACTTTATTGTAGGAAACCAACAGAAGTCAACAGTACAGGGTATACAAGAATGAATGCATGATATTCATTGAAATCTGATTGAAACTCTGTGTTCAATTTCTTAAAAAAGGAAAAGGTACCTATAGGGGGAAATATGCATCAGTTAGAAAAGTACATCACGTCCTTTTTTGCCTTCTACCTCTGAACCAACAGATGTACAGTGACATAAATCAGTATTCTTTAAACAGGTAGTGATTCAAGTGCTCTGGGTTCATTGCACCAAAAAGTAGGTATTCTGGGACACAGTAAAAGAACAAACTACCACTGGAGCTGTAATTACAGTAAAGCATTGAAAATAATCAACAAGATGACTCAAGCTTGAAAAACACCTAAATAATAGTTGTCATAAAGAGCATTTTGCTACAGACTATATCCTCCAAGTACTTGTTTTCTTTCTTCATGCCTGAGTGTTTTTAAATCCAGCATTAAAATTCCTTGAAGAATGCATAGTTTCAGCACTACACAATGACTCAAAATAAATGGTTCTCTGAAGCCGGTATTCTTATTTTATTCTGAGTTTGTCTAAGACATAAGAAGAATGTTGGATCTCTCAGTCCTTATGGGATACAGAAATTCAGAAAACAACTCATTAAATTTCCCTAAATACGAGGTTTTCAAAGACTCTACTGAAAGTGTAAAGAAAACCTTAGCTACTCTCTTCTCCTAAGAGTCTCTTTCTTTATTTTCTTCAAAGCTTCTCAGTTTTGAAGAAAATTCCAAACAGTCACAATTCTGGCTGCAATAAAAAGCAACTGGGAGCCTTTCAAAAATACAAATTATTGAGCCCCATAACCAGGGATTCTGATTTAATAGCTTTTGATGGGGTCCAGGCATCAGTATTTTAAAACTCCCCAACTAAATCTAATGTACAAGGTCTGCAATAACAAAACATTTGTGCCCCTATAATCACTGGGTTGTTCAGAATCATATAGTAAAAGTCACAGAGCCTATAGCCAAATAAAGTTAGTAGTATAATACTCAAAAATTAGGCAAGGATACATAAAAAAGGAAAGGAAGCTAATAAAAACTGCACTATTTCACACATATTAAATGACTTAAAAATACATAACTATTACAATAAACATGATATTTTATCTTGCAAAGACCCAAAGTTTGCTGGTCAAAGTAGGTTTCAGAATGGTTATAACTTGTGAGTTACTGTAAAGTGGTAGAAAAATTATCTGGAATTGAGCAGAAAGCTGCAGTACCACATGTGGATAACTGTGACATTAAAAAAAAGCATGAACAATGCCAGCCAGTAAAAGACCGAAGCTTGTGTCTGAAATATATTCCTAAACAGGTTGGTTCAGTTCGGTAGGCATGGTTTTCTGCATTCATTTTGTGCTTACTCCAGTTCTACAAATAAAATCTTTACAAAAAGCTCAAATTGTTCCCTAGTACAATAGTTGTGTTGAAACTAATTTGTATTTTCAAATCAAATGTTATACCAGGACTCTACAGCCAGACACAAGAAATTTTGCCTTAAATATATACAATATGATCAAAAACTACCACGAATGCTTATTTTTTTAATTTGTTACAATAAAAGCCATATTGCCATTAACCCCCCTCACTGTGAACACACTTATCCCATCATTTTTGCCACTTTCTGAAGCAGTTCTGGGAGTCTTTTCTCACGATTATCTTCAGTTGTGCTGTTGTGGCTGCCTCAGTGACCTGAAATCGATTCAAAATGTTTACCTTTCAGGATCATTTTGACTTTGGAGAAGAGCCAGAGACGCACAGCACCAGATCTGATGAATAACATGGATGAGGGCACATTAACGTTCTTATTTGACAGAAACTGTTGTACCAGAAGCAGTGTGTGACACAGAGCATTATCATGGTAGAGAATGAAACCTTTTGCTCATTTATCAGGCCATTTTCTAGGCACATCATTCCTTAAATGCTCTGATAAACTCTTACAATATTCCAAACTCATTATAGTGTTACTGGGTACAAACGAAGCTGACATAACACCATCAGAAGAACAGAATTAACATCATTGTGATGTTGAATCTTGATTTATGTGCTTTTGTTCATACAAGCAAAACTGGATAATTTCCACTGAGAATTCTAGTATATGTGCTGCCGAAGCGAGCAGTCCACTAAGAATTCTAAACCTTGGTCTCAGGATCATAGCAATAGACCCAAGTTTCATTTCTCATAATTATATTCATTAAAAAGATGGACCCTGAAGAGATATGATCTCACAATAAAATGAAACTGACAAAATTTCATGTTAATGTGTTGTTCCTAAACCATGATTCACGGCACACTTTAAAACACACCTTTTAGCTGGGCATGGTGGCACACGCATGTAATCCCAGCACTCGGGAGGCTGAGGCAGGAGGATCCTTGTGAGTTCGAGATCAGCCTGGGCTACAAAGTGAGCTCAGGGCCAGTCTGAACTGCATAGCGAGATCTTGTCTCAAAAAAGACAAAAATAAAAAATAAAATACACCTTTTCTCAACCACAGGTCACAACCAAATGACCACACCAAACAAGCTGAAATCTGTCACACGCACTTACTCCAGCTCCACACACTACTGCTTGTATTAAAGATACCTGCCGTCCATCGAGGGCACTCAGAAGCTGTTTTCATTGTATTTTTTTATCAAGCATAGTACAAACAGGAGAAAATTTAGTATACAAGCTCGTGTTATTTTATGTTAGTACCAAATAATAAATCTAACTCACCAAAAAGCATTTTGCATTACTTTTGATTCTCATATCCTATCTGGAGTATTGCTAATATTAAATCCTCTTTGTGTTTAACATGTAAGCCAATAGATCCCTTTGAATATTGTCAGATTTGAGGATTAACTGTACCACTATACTATTTCAAAATATACTTCATTGTATTTGGCACAGGTATAATTTAAGACAAAACACACAAAGTAGCTGGGAATAAAGGTATATGCCTATAATCCCAGCTACTCTAGAGGCTGAAGTAGAAGAATCACAAATTTAACTACTGTTGGGGAAACTTAGTGAAACCCTGTCTTACAAATGAAAACTAGAGCCAAGATAGTATGGTTCAATTATAATCTCAACTCTCTGGGTGGCTGAGGCAGGAAGACCCCACACATAGGCCCACCTTAGGTTACTTAGGGACCTAGGAAGGTACTCTCTCAAAATAAAAAATAAAAAGGCCATGGAATATAAGTTCAGTGGGAAGGGCTTATGTTTGGTCCTCAGTACAAAAAAAAAAAGATTAAAAACGGTAAAATTAAATGTCCATCCACCCACGATTGGATAAGAAAATTGTGGTACTTTTATATAATGGAATATTACACAACATAAAGAAAGATAAACTAGAGGTTTTTATAGGTAAATGGTCACAACTAGAGACCATACTCATAAGTGAAATAAATCAGACCTGCATGTGCAAGCACCGCATTGTTTCACTAGTGTAAAACCTGAGAGAGTTAATTTAAACTAGGAGGTATGATAGACATTGTGAAATGATAGGAAAGCACTCAAGGGTAAAGGGCAATTGGGATGTGGGAAAAGCGAAGGGAAAGAAGGAGAAATTTTGTATTATGTATATACAAGATAGTTAACATAGTTGTTCTACTGTCTTCTATTCTTTTGCTAAAAGAAACTGTCAGTGAGTCCTTGATTGATCAATATCGCATGTCTCTATCTGTTTTCATGAGAAACCACTTTGAAGATATCAATATGTAATACAAGAAGCATTGTTAATTTCCTACCACTTTGTAACTCTGTATTGTCTGTACTGTTCTTTTGCTGTTTTGTAAAAGGTTGTCTGTCTGTCAATGTTTTCCTCCTTTTATTTTTAAAATTAAAAAAAAAAAACGGTAAAATTATCTGCACCATAGAATAAAATAAAGCTTCAAAATGAAATAACCGTTAACCACAAACATATGAAAAAGTGTTTAACTGTGCTAACTTTTACAGAAATGTAAAATAAAATCACAGTAGATATAACTTATTATCTATCAGATAAACAAAAATTCAAAAGCCTGACAACATACACTTCTGCCTAAAGTAAGCAGAAGCTGACATCATCAAACAGTTCTGATGAATATGGAAAGTGATATAAAATCTCTGTAGAAAAATTTATGTTTACATTGGCATTACATACTAAAACCACATGCATATTTGCATTTTTTTTAAATTTTTTTATTTTTCTGGTATCGTTATACAGTTCAGGCTGTCCTTGAGCTCACTTTGCAGCCCAGGCTAGTCACAAACTCACAGTGATCCTCCTGCTCAGCCGCCCGAGTGCTGGGATTACAGGCATGTGCCACCACGCCTGGCACATATTTGCATTTTGACATAGAAATCCCACTTCCAGGAATTTATCCTGAAAATACACATGATCATTAAAAATATACCTGTACGGTACCTTTTACTGCAGCATTACTTGTAATTGCAAAGTACTATGACCCTAAGAATCCATACATGGTTTGGACACTCAAAACCTTTTCCATTAAGTGAACTAGGACCCCAAGGAAAAACAGTTGATTCTAAGACTGTAGAAAGAAACACTCAAGAGGAGCCTGAAATACTTACTACGCCAGAAATTTGAAAAGTTGTCAAAGAATGATAGAAAAATAGTCCAGGACGCCGAGAGCAAAGTCAGCCAGCTAGTTCTCCACCTCCCGATATTTCCTTCCTCCCTCTACATCAGCACCTCAGGTTTTTAGGTTTCTGTACTCTGGGACTTACATCAACAACTCGCCAGGTTCTCAGGCCTTTGGCCTCAAACTAAGTCACATCAGTTCCCCTACAAACCCAGACTGAACTACATCACTGGCTCTCCTGATTCTCCGACTTGTGGGACTTCTTGACTTCCATAACAAATCCTGTGAGCTATACACTATGTACATTTACATATACATATACAGATGTGTATATGTATCACACACTACATATGTGTGTGATCTCCTATTGTTTTGCTTGTCCAAAAAATCATGATTAACTTTAAAATAAAAGACTTAAACACCACTATCAAACATCTCATCCTTATTGTCATCTATGGAATATTACAAGCAACAACAAAGAATACATAGACTTATGAAGTGCACATAGAAGATTTACCAAGAAAAGCCATATTCTGAGATATACAGGAAATATTTATAAATGTAAAACATTCATTATACAAAATAGACTCTTGGAAAATAATGGTGCTAGATTCACAGTCAACAGGTATCTGGAAAAAAATATTTATAAATTGAATATAAGACTTTGAAAGAACGTATCAGTCCAAAAGATATCAAAAGGGAAATTAAAGGGGCTGGGGATTTAGCTCAGCGGCAAAGCATCTGCCTGGCAAGAGCAAGGTCGTGAGTTCGGTTCCCGGTACCAGAGAAAAACCAAAAAAAAAGGGAAATTAAAATTTATTCTGAAAATAAAATAAAATAAGCATAGAATAAAGTCAAAGATGCAGCTGCAACTACTCAGAAAACTAAGAACTCTATAAATTCACTTGGGTACACTCACTCAATAGTATGATCTATTTTAAGGACAGCTGTGATGTTATACATAAGAAATTATTAAATTAATGCTTCTTACCTTGGATACATTGCTGACATAATTCATTTGGAGAGTACTTTCCTTATCAACTTGATTACAAAGGTTCTGTAAAGTAGATGCGTACTCTTTATCACTTTTTATTCTCAGAGACATGAATTTCTTCACTGATTCCAGTAGCCGTAATTCCCAGTCTTGCAATTTTAACACAGCTTCGTGTGAATTCTTCAGGTCACTCCCAAACCCCATTTTTGTCAGGCACCGCTTATCCTCCACGCTGCGCAAGGGAGCCTTCAGTCAGCACATGTCTGTGTGTATGAATATAAGGAAAAAGTCTTCAATCAAAAAGAAAAAAGTTGGGAAGCTGAGGCAGGAGGATCATTGCGAGTTCGAGGCCAGCCTGGGCTACAAGGTGAGCTCAAGGCTAACCTGAACTGTGTAGTGAGACCCTGTCTCAAAAAAATGGAAAAAAGTCAGTACTCAAAGCACAGTTATGCTCCATTCTTTCAAGAGTAAAAAATAATAATAAACACTACCACTAAGAGGTAAGGACCACCACAAAGATATCAAGGGTTTTGTCAACTTGTATTCAATGTACACTAGCTGTTCTAAACATAACAATAGCATAATAAAAGATATTTGGATGAAAAAGGAAGAAGTAAAGCTATTTATGTAGATGACATCATCTTGTATACAGAAAGTCCTAAGGAATGCAATAAAAAATTACTAAAATAATGTAGTAACATTACAAAATATAAAATGAATATATGAAATTGAATTATATTTATAAACACTTCCATCAACCCAAAAGTGAAAGTAAAAAACAATTCCACTTACAATAGCATCAAAAAAGAACAAAACACTGAGGAATAAACTGAAGAAAATATAAAATTTGTACTCTTTCTAAAACACTGTAGAATTTTTTTAATGAAAATAAATTGAAAGACTCTTGTTGAAAGACAGAAAAAAATGTCATTAAGACAGCAGTATCCCTCAATTTGATCTATAGATTTAACATACTTATTACCATCTCAGTTAGCTTTTATTCAGAAATTAACACTTGAATTCTAAAATACACGATAAGGGAACCAGAATAATAACAAAAAGTTTAGAAGCTGGGAGCAATGGTGTGTACCTGTTACTCCAGCACTTTGGGAGACAGAGGTAGAATAATCACAAGTTCTAGTCCAACCCAAGCACAAGACCTTGTGTTAAAATACAAAATAAAAAAAGGCTGAGATGTAGCTCAGTGCAGAGGCCCTGCATTCAATCCCCCATACCACTCCCCACCAAGGCAAGTTTTTTAAAAAGAACAATGTTGCAGAACTCACACTTTCTGATTCAAAACCTAAACAACTACAGTAATCAAGACAGGATGACAGAGGCAGACGGAAAAACACAGGGATCAATGGAGGATATAACAGAGGGCCCCAGTAAACCTTTACAATTATGGTGAAATGATTTTTTACAAACGTGCCTCATCTATTCAATGGGAAAAGGAAGGTTCCTCAGAAAATACATGGTCCTGGGAACACCAGATTTCCACACACAAATAAAGGAAGCAGAATACCTTCTTTAGAATGCACAAAAAAAGTTAACTCTACATGGATCACTGATCTAAAACTATAGAACTAAAACTATAAAGCACTCAGAAGAAAACATAGGAGTAAGGTCTGCGATTCTTTTTTTCTTTTTCTTTTTTGAGACAAGGTCTCATTAAGTCATTAAGTTGCTTGGGCTACACTTGAACTTGTGGTCCTCCTACCTCAGTCTTCCAGGGTGTTGGGATATAGGCATGAACTATTCCGTCTAGCTAATGTGGCTAATGCTTATACCTTAATAATAAAAAGACTAATTAAAATGAGCAAAGGATTTGAACAGACATTTCTCCAAAGAAACACAAATGTCCATTAAAGCACATGAAAAGATATTCTATATTGCTAGCCATTAAGAATATGTAAAATTACAAGGAGGGGCCGGGGATTTAGCTCAGCGGCAAAGCGCCTGCCTGGCAAGCGCAAGGTCGTGAGTTCGGTTCCCGGTACTGGAGAAAAACCAAAAAAAAAAAAAAAAAAATTACAAGGAGATAATAATTCACACTAGTAGAACATTTATAATCAAAAAAGACATAATAACAAATGTTGGAGAGACTATGCAGAAATTATAGCTCATATCCCGCTAGTACAAATGCGAAGTGCTACAGGCACTATGGGAAATAGTACGGCAGTTCCTCAAAGGTAAAGCAGTTATCATGTGACCCACTCTACTTTGGGGAATATACCCAAGTGACAGCGGCTTGGGATGGTACTCTGTGATAAAGTATGTGCTTAGCACGCACAAATAAATTCAAAGGTTTGACCCTCAGTTACCTCATTTTGCAAAAAAAAAAAATCCACACAAAAACTTGTGCAGGAATGTTTGATGCAATATCATTTATAATAGCCGCAGAATGGCAACAACCCAAATACTCAGCAATTGGTGGATGGATAAATAAAACATGATCATATTCATATAAGGAAATATTATCTGGCAATGTAAAGGAATGAAGTACTAACACAGGCTACAACATCGATTATCCTTAAAAATACTTTGCTAAGCCAAAGAATGCAGACAGTAAAGACCACATAATGCATCACCTTGTTTCTCTGAAATATGCAGAATAAGTAAATCTGGAGAAGGAGACAGATTAGTGTGTGACTGGGGCTGGTGATTCTGGGGAAAGAGGGAGCAGCAAATTACAAGGTTAACTGTATTTCCTTTAGTAATGATGACAGTGCTCTAAAGCTGACTGCAGAGAGAGCTTCACAGCTCCAGAAATGTACTAATGGCAAATGAAACGTGCAGTTCCAGTGGGTGAATGCTTAGCATGTGAATGCTAGGTTTGGCTCTGAGTTGAGTGTGTACCCACCAGGGGCCTCATGTGTCAAATTTAATCTAATCATCAGTGTGAGGTACGGGTAGGAGCTACGCAGGGTTGGTGGTTCACACTCGCAATCCTACCACCTCAAGAGGCTAAGGTAGATCACAAGTCTGAGGCTGGCCAAGGCAATTTAGCAAAACGCTGCCTCAAAATACAATAAAACTGGCCTGGGATATAGCTTAGCACTCTCTGAGTTCAATAACGAGAATGGCATACACTGACGCACCAGAAATGGGCAAAATGAACAGGCAGAAACAATCTAACTAATTTAAATGAAGTAGGACCTTTGGGAGGTAGTTAGGATTAAGTAAGGTCATTAGAATGAAGCATGTATGACTGAATCCTAGTGGCTTTAAATCCACACGCGCGCGCACACACACACACACACACACACACACACACACTGAATCTTGCTATGCGATACCCTACATTACTCCAAATCTCTGCCAGCAAGAAGGCTGTTACCAGACATGGCCCCTTGACCTTGAATCTCTGGAACCCCACACTGCAATAAACCTCTTTTCTTTATAAACTCACCCAGTCTGATATTATATTATTGGCAACAGAAAAGATTAATATAGTGAACTATAACTCAAAATTATTTATAAGTCATTACAGCATAACATACAGCCATCTACAGGTCACTTATCATAAACTTCACCAAAATATTCTCTTTGTGTACTATAAATACTGAAAACTCTAGGAGAATTATTCCCCAGTTGCCTAGAATTTCAGGCAATTTTTCAGAACCAGTTATAAGGAACAGAGAAACATGTCTTCTATTTCTAGTTCTAGATCATCCACACCAAAAATCAAAATCCTGATATCCTGTAAGCTACAAAGAAAAACAAAATGGGATTTCTCTCTCTAACCTCAGTAATCATATCTAAATGCATGGTAAAAATGAGGGTTTTCCAAATAAAACATAGACTGTAAATTTTCCCTGATTCAAAGCTGTCCAGTTTTACAATCAAAGAGTGACTGGGAAAAAATTTTTAAGAAAAAAGAATTTTTTTGTCTTCTTTTGAAAACATGGGATGAGATAGGGTATAATTCTACCAACACTTAATTGAGCTGCAGATAAAAGAAAACACTTTTTTTTTTCAGGGCAAAGTTAAGGAACATATTTTAAATTTTTAAAAATTCATTTGAGATTAAAGATCATTTTATTCTGTAACTTGGCATAAATACCATCTTTGTTTCTGAATGCATCCTGATCATTTTTTCTTCCACTGTCAGGAACTTCAAAAGGACTGTGAAGAGCTCAGAGGGATAAAAGGGAAACAAAAGCTTGCAGACTCTGAGCCCTCCAGCCTGTCCCAAGGGCTTACTTGTATACTATTGTAGGTCAGGGTCCATATAAGATAATGTAACATGTAGTACCTCTCTAAGTAAAAGAATAAAAATTCTGTAACAGCGCCATAATAAGGACTATGTCTAGTTACTGGAGTCTTGAATATAATAGGTGCCTTAGAAAATAAGAGAATGGCAGGTAATAGACAGTTATTCTGTAGATGTTATCATATTTATGTATAAGATTATTCATTTAAATCGTGTTTGCAATGCCAAAAACAAGTTATATCTGAAATACCTACCAATAGGGACTTCTTAAGTAAATTACTATCAAGGCTGCTACATTTGGTTTTAGCTGAGTAATTCAACAGGTGCCACTGAAATTCTATTAATTCGATATCAAACATTCACAAGATATATGGTAGACATGTTCATGGTATGTTCATTCAGAGGAATATCATTCAGTGCTAATAAATATCAAGGATATTTTTATACATTGATATGGAACTATAAATAGGAAATATGAATTGAAAAAGAAAGATCAGAATCTTAGTTTGCTAACTTTGTGTAAAAGAGGAGGAAGACAAATATTCATTTTGCAGGTAGGTACAAACAATGCCTCTAGAAGAACACATAGTAGCTGAGCTCAAGAGTGGGTAGGAGATAGGTTACTATTTATTCTTTTGTATATTTGGTTTTTGTTCTAAGTAAATATATTGACATTATCTATTCAAAAAATATAGAATTTTTGCAGAGAAAAGGTAAAATAAATGCAAGCTGGAATTATCAGATTTCCTAGAAATGACAAGGTACAAGCTGGAATGGAAGAATGACTGTAAATGACCTTTAGATTAAAAAAGCAAAGAGGGAAATAAATTTCAGGAAGTAGGGTCAGTATGGGGAGACAAAATTGAACACGAGGTATAGCCAGGTGTAATGGTGCATGCCTATAATCCCAGCACTCAGGAGGCTGAGGAAAGAGGATTGCCACAAGTCCAAGACCAGCGTGGATGACATAACGAGATCCTGTCCAAAAACAAACAAACAAACAAAGAAAAGGAGAAAGAATATGAGGTGCAGTAAAAAAAATGTCTC